GTCCCCGACCGATCCCTCTCTCGCGGATCGGTCCCGGCCGGGGAGATCGGGGGGGTGCCGCCACCCACCCGCGGACAACGGTTCTCTTGGCCGGGCGACGGGAGGACGGGACCGCCGGGCCGGGGGAGGGGTGGGCTTCACCCTTCCCGGCCGGGGAACCGCGTCCGAGCGTGCGAGGAAACGGTGCCGCCACCGGCTCTCGCCCGGCCTCGCGGCGCGGGCTTCGGTCTCCCTCTGTGTCTCTCGCCTTCGGAAAAGCCGGGGTAGGTCACCGATTAAGAGGAAAAAAAAAAAAAAAAAAAAAAAAAAAAAAAAGGCACATGGGCGCGCGGACACCACAAGGACCCGTGCTAGCCACGGGGGCCGTGGGCCCGGGGCGGGGGGCGAGGCGCACGCGGCCTCTCTCGCTGCCCTCCCCGCTTCGGAACCCGCCGGCATCGGCTCGGCTCGGGGCTCGCTCAGCCCCCCACTTCTTTGCCACACAACCTCGGCTTTCGTGGGCCCGCACGCTTCTCCGTGCCGCGGCTTAGGGCCGCAAGAGGAAAAGGCCATGGGAGGCCGGGCGGGCGGGGCGCCCCCACAGCACCCGCGCGCACGCCTTCAAAAAGAGCAACGGACCCGGGGGGGGCCGGGCAAGCCAGCCCCACCCCGGCAGAAGCGGGCTCGGTCGCCACGACCGAGGAAGGGCGAGGCGCCGCCGCCTACGCCCGCGACCTTCCGGGAGTGCTCTCTGCCGGGGCTCCGGTCCGTGCTGGTGGAAAAAAAAGGCTGCCCGCCGCGAGGCGGGTCCCCGGCTTAAGGCCGAGGAAGGGGGACGACTTCAACAAGAGGCGCCGCTGGCACGGGGTGCCGCCACCCCGGCGCCACGGCTGGATCGGGCGACCGCCGTCACCGAGCCCCCCCCCCTGTCTCCGGCCACACGGCGAAGGCCGGGGCCAGGCCGCGGGTGCCCCGCCGCTGCCCTTCCGACACGGACACACGCTGGCAAACGAGGTCGGGAGCGGGGGAACCGGGCACCGCCACCGCGGCGGGCCGACCGGGCCTTGCTCGGGGTTTGGGGGCTCTCGGGCAAGGGCCGGGGAAAAACCCCGGCCGCGTCGACCCCCGGCTGCCGGCCACCGGGCGACCAAGACCGGCAGCCGAAAAGAAACACCCGCGCCCGGCGGGCCCCGGCTTAAGGCCAGGCAGAAAAGGGACGAGGCGCCGCCGCACCTCGCCCCGCCAGCCCATCGTGTCCCAGGGGGGCCGCCCCCCCTTGCAAACCGGGCCGGCGGCGGCCGACCGGAGCGGAACGCCACACTCGAGCCCGCCCGCGGCGGGGGCTGTCTCTCTCTGCAACCTTCGCTGCGCTCAGCGAGCGGCTTCTCGACACGCTCTTTCGGCCTTTCGCTTCGTCTCTCTCGCGGCCCTCGCTCTGGCTTTCTCGGCCTCGTCATTTCTCGCTGGCCTCTCGGGTCGGATATTCCTCGAAACTGCCCGGGGGGGGCAGGACGGGGCACCGGGACCAAGCCCCCGCGGCTCACCCGGTGCAGGCGGCACTCGCTTCGCCCCGACGACCGCGCGCGACGCGGCCGCCCTATCCTCCGCCTCGGACACAGGCGCCCTCGTGGAACCTGCGGGGATGCGGCCCGTCACCTCGCTCCCAATATACGTACAGACGAGTCCAAGGCCGCCGGCGCCTCCAAGGGGACCGCTGGCGCTCGACCGGGAAGCTGCGCCACCGCAGGCCGCCCTCTACGTCGACGTAGCCGGAGGCGGCTGGAAACAGCGACCCCTTGGCGAACTTCCGGCGCCGGCCGGGACAACAGGTCTACCCGGCAGTTCGGACAGCAGGTCTACCCGGCAGTTCGGACACCAGGTCTACCCGGCAGTTCGGACACCAGGTCTACCCCGGAGTCCGGACACCAGGTCTACCCCGGAACACGGGTCTACCCCGAGATTCGGACAACGGGTCTACCCCGCGGTTCGGACAGCAGGTCTACCCCGGATTTCGGACAGCAGGTCTACCCCGTATTTCGGACAGCAGGTCTACCCCGAGATTCGGACAACAGGTCTACCCGATAGCAGGGACAACAGGTCTACCCCGGAGTTCGGACAACAGGTCTACCCCGCAGTCCGGACAAGAGGTCTACCCCGTAGTTCGGACACCAGGTCTACCCCGCGGTTCGGACAAGAGGTCTACCCCGGAGTTTGGACAGCAGGTCTACCCCCGATTTCGGACAGCAGGTCTACCCCGGATTTCGGACAGCAGGTCTACCCCGAGATTCGGACAACAGGTCTACCCCGAGATTCGGACAACAGGTCTACCCGCCAGCTAGGACAAGAGGTCTACCCCGGCGTTCGGACAACAGGTCTACCCGGCAGTTCGGACAGCAGGTCTACCCCGGAGTTCGGACACCAGGTCTACCCCGAGATTCGGACAAGAGGTCTACCCCGGAGTATGGACAGCAGGTCTACCCCGGAGGCCGGACAGCAGGTCTACCCCGCAGTCCGGACAACAGGTCTACCCCGAGATTCGGACAAGAGGTCTACCCGCCAGCAGGGACAGCAGGTCTACCCCGGAGTCCGGACAGCAGGTCTACCCCGGAGGCCGGACAAGAGGTCTACCCCGCAGTCCGGACAACGGGTCTACCACGGATCCCGGACCAAAGGTCTACCCCGGCGCCCGGACCAAAAGGTCTAAGCTGGCGCACGGGCAACGGGTCCAGCCCGGCGACCGGAGAAAACGGTCTACCCCGGCGCCCGGGCAAATGGTCTTCCCCGGCGCCCGGAGAAGAGGTCTACCCCGGCGCCCGGAGAAAAAGGTCTACCCCCGCGCCCGGAGAAGAGCACTAGCCCGGGTGCCGGACAACAGGTCTAGCCCGGGTCCCTGGAAACAGGTCTAGCCCGGCGCCCGGAGAAAAAGGTCTAGCCCGGCGCCCAGACCGAAGGTCTAGCCCGGCGCCCGGAGAAGAGCTCTAGCCCGGTTGCCAGACGACAGGTCTACCCCGGGTCCCTGGAAACAGGTCTAGCCCGGCGCCCGGACAAGAGGTCTATGCCGGCGGTCGGACAACAGGTCTACCCCGGAGGCCGGACAACAGGTCTACCCCGGAGTTCGGACAAAAGGTCTACCCCGGCGCCCGGACAACAGGTCTACCCCGGAGGCCGGACAAAAGGTCTAAGCTGGCGCCGTTCGGACAACAGGTCAACCTCGGGGCCGGGAACACCGGTCTGCCCCCGGCGCCCGGAACACGAGGTCTGCCCCCGGGGCCACGGGGCCACAGCATCCCAGCGGGGCCAGCGTGCAAGGGAAGCGCGGCGGCGGCGGCCCCCGATGCGACTCGGGCGGTCGCTTCTGGGCCGTTCCTGGGCTGCTTCTTTCACGGTCCGCAGAGCCCTTCGGCCCTCGGCAGGGGTCTGGGGGGGCCGCGGGGGGCTCGGCGTCGAGGTGCTCGGCGCCAGCACGGAGGCGCCGGCCCACGGCCCTCGCTCACAGAGAGAAAGAGAGAGGAGGTACAGAGAGAGAGGGAGAGAGACAGGGACACGCACGCCCGCTCCGCACACTCGCAATCCGACGCCACCCCCTCAGAGCACCCCCCCGCCCCCAACCCCGTCCCGCCGCTCCTGCACGCACTCTGGCGTGGCCTCTCTCCCCGTCCCTGCCCCCTGCCCCTGCCCTGTCTGCGGCAGCCGCCCGCCCATCGACGGTTGGGGGCGCCCCGCCCTGCCCCGTCAGACTCCCCGGCGCCGCCCGCAGCCTTTACCCTCAAGTCCCCCGCCCGCTCTCTGCTCGGCCGCTTGGCACGTCTGCAGCGGCGGCAGGGCCGGGAGCCGGCCCACATCGAGGCAGGCGGGGCCTTCGGCCGGCAGGGCCAGAGCCCGCGGCAGAGGCGGCAGCCCCTTTTCCGAGAAGCCTTCTCTTCGGCTCTCGCCCGGCCTTCCTGCTTTGACGGCCTTCCTTCCTTGGCGCTCCGGCCCGGCCCGGCCCGGCCCCGTCCCAGCCCGGGGCAGGACGGCCGAAGGAAGCGAGGGACGCAGAAAGGGAGGCAGGAGCCGGGCTGCCGTGGCTTTGGGCACAAAGGAGGAGGCGGGAGCGCCGCCGGCCCCTACCGGCCGGCTCCTTCCCTCTCTAGCCCGGCGCCCGGCGGCCAGAGGGTCGGTCGTGCGCGGGACAACAGGTCTACCCGGGCTCCAGAGGAACAGGTCTGCCCCGCCGGCCGGGCAGCCGGAGGCCGGGGCCGGAGGAGGACGACAGGGCCTAGCCCGGCGCAGGCACACGCGTTAAAGCCGGGGGCCGGAGGAGACGTCCGGCACCGGGACGACAGGTCTAGCCCGGGGCTTGGCTGCAACAGGTCTACCCCGGGCGGCGGCAGGACGCCGGGTCTGTACCCCGGGTGCAGGACGCCGGGTCTAGCCCGCGGCTTGGCTGCAACAGGTCTACCCCGGGCGGCGGCGGGACGCCGGGTCTAGCCCGCGGCTTGGCTGCAACAGGTCTACCCCGGGCGGCGGCAGGACGCCGGGTCTCTACCTCGGGTGCAGGACGCCGGGTCTAGCCCGCGGCTTGGCTGCAACAGGTCTACCCCGGGCGGCGGCGGCGGGACGCCGGGTCTAGCCCGCGGCTTGGCTGCAACAGGTCTACCCCGGGCGGCGGCAGGACGCCGGGTCTCTACCTCGGGTGCAGGACGCCGGGTCTAGCCCGCGGCTTGGCTGCAACAGGTCTACCCCGGGCGGCGGCGGCGGGACGCCGGGTCTAGCCCGCGGCTTGGCTGCAACAGGTCTACCCCGGGCGGCGGCGGGACGCCGGGTCTTCCCCGCGGCTTGGCTGCAACAGGTCTACCCCGGGCGGCGGCGGGACGCCGGGTCTCTACCTCGGGTGCAGGACGCCGGGTCTTCCCCGGGGCTTGGCTGCAACAGGTCTACCCCGGGCGGCGGCGGCGGGACGCCGGGTCTAGCCCGCGGCTTGGCTGCAACAGGTCTACCCCGGGCGGCGGCGGCGGGACGCCGGGTCTAGCCCGCGGCTT